GGAAGGCTTGGATATTTTAAACTTCGTAAATAACATTCTTTTCAAGCGTAGACTTTATTTGAGTGTAGTAATACGCAACAACAATTCGTTTACAGCGATGGTTTTATTGAAGTTTTTAATGCTTTTCGGCTTCACAGTGAATTATTTTAGCGTCATATTTGAAATAGCGCACTCGATACAAGATGTCGGAAGGGAAAATTGGGGTCTGTAAAAATGTTTGTTGGATCAGTCAGGCAATGTGTGGACCAAAACATCGCCCACTATTTGAAACAATGCCCATGGGTCCACATGTAGTACCTATATAATATGTAATATCAAAGCAATTGGACTTGCTGTTTTTAACAAGAAGTCGAAAATATCACTTTTTACCAGAAATATTCATATTTACCAAAACAAATGCCATTTTAATGTATTTCCAATTCAGTTTGAAATTACTGCCCTCCCATATAACTGAGACAAGTGACTTTGCAGGTGGGCTGAAAAAAATTAAAACTTGCAAATAAATATTCATGGTCTGTTTCAATAATGAAATTTTATTAAATAGTATATTGGATAAATTTGAATGTCCTTCATTTCTAGTGACTGATACAAAGATCATGAAACTATTTAAATTTGGGAATTGAAATTATCTCTTTTGTGTGTCGGCAGAGTGTTGAGTCAAAGCATATACACAAGACAGAATTTGAACCCATCAACAAACAAACAAGCTGCTCTCTGATTGGTCTGTTAGATATTAGGGCTGGATAGCCAATCAGACACAATCTTGTAGTAACTTTGCATTGATTAAGAATGAATATATTTAAAAATGATTTTTATTCTAGGGCTGGTAACATTCTGGCAGGACTTCAATGTCTACTGGTACACAATTTTCAAAAAACACTGCCCATTCTACTCCATATGGTGCACTTCACTGATGCATGAAATTCATTCAAAACAAGTCATTGTCAATGACACGTCACCGTTCCGTTCATATTTGAGTGACATATACATTCAAAGCAGATCATGACCGAAATGCACCTGCATATGTACAACACATTGTACTAAATCTGAACAAAATCCATCCATGCATGACTGAGATCTGGTGCCGGAATTGTGAAAATACGTTATTTTAATGCATTTTCGGTCTTAAAATGGCCATCATTCAGCTATTGTTAAGCGGATCATGAAACAAATGCACATATCTATTTGTGACATGATGTACCATGTGTGTGTGAAGTTTGAACTTGATCAATCCAGACATGTCTTGATACGGATCCAGAACTGAATTCTTTAAGAAAATGGCCACCAGTCGGCATTTCGAACTTGATCCGGAAAAAAAATGACGT